AGGAAGGGAGAGGGATAGAGAGCTAGAAACATCGATGAGAGAGAAACATCGATCAGCTGCCTCCTGCACATCTCCCACTGGGGATGTGCTCGCAACCCAGGTACATGCCCTTGACTGGAATCGAACCTGGGACCTTTCAGTCCGCAGGCCAATGCTCTATCCACTGAGCCAAACCGGTTTTGGCATAACCCACAGTTTTTTAGAAGTTTTAAGATTTACAGTTTTGGGGGTAGAGGAGTGTTAGAGTTTTAAACTTCATATTAACATTAAGTTTTTTTTTTACATTGGATAAGAGACTATGACATGTCCAATCTCTGCTGTTTTTGATAAATAATCCTATTTCATTGGTGTATTTTTGTTTTTAATCGTGAAAGTTAGTATTTCTAATCTTAAAAATATGATGTGAAACAAAATATGATGTAAATATTGAAAATCCTGGTGGCCCTAGCTGATTTGGCTCAGTGGATAGAGCGTCAGCCTGCAGACTGAAGGGTCCCAGGTTTGATTCTGGTCAAGGGCACATGCCTGGGTTGCAGGCTCTGCCCCTAGTAGGGGATGTGCAGGAAGCAGCCGATCAATGATTCTCTCTCATCATTGATGTTTCTATCTCTCTCTCCCTCTCCCTTCTTCTCTAAAATCATTAAAAATATATTTTAAAAAATCCTGGTGTCCGCAATTTTTTTTTGGTTAAAGCCTGAGTTGTTAGTTTTTTATGAAAATTGTATTTTTATAAGATTTTCCTTGTTTATAAATAGATTGCACTACTTATATTTTGATGTTGCCTTCATTGCGGATTTCACTTTCATCAACATAAAATTAATTTCTAATGCCATTTAATGCCTTTTGCATCAAATTTTACTTTGTTTAAAGTTAACATTCTTCTTGCTTTCCTTTTCTTTGTATTTCCCTTACCTAACTCTGTGGTCTTGATTTGGGGTGTGCATCTTCATTTTGGGTATAGGTGCTCTGTAATGTAACGGAGAGGCCTTGTTTTATAGCATTTTTTTTCTAATTTGCATTTACAGCTATCAGCTATCTTTTATAGTTCTATGCTATTTTCCTTGACGTCTGATTTAGCCATTTGCTTTGATCTTTTTCATAGATTTGGCAAGCAGATATGCTCTTTTATTATCTATTAATACTAACGTTAGGGCTATGAAAGTCTTATAATTACATACTCTTTTATTTCCCTTCTATTTACCCTTTTTACCCCTAGCCTCTGTTAGTATACTAATTCATCATTAAATTATTGTTTTTATATTATGTGTATAATCTTTCAGAAGTAGTTTTCTATTTCAAGACTAATTTGATATTTGTATTCAGCTCTGTGTCTCTACTTACAACAATTTTTTAGCTGCGGCTCTTTGTTTAGACGGTTCCAGTGCTCATTTTGCTCCTTTTAAAAAATCTGATTTATTTCTGAACTCTTAGTTTTGATTCTGCTCTTAATACCTTTCTTAAGAAGGTTATTGGAGTGGTCTGTTTCCTGAAATCTTGTATATCTAAGGGTGTATCTTTGCTTCTTTCACACACAAAAAGCAATTTATCTGGCCAAGTTCTTAGGCCAAACGTTTCCACCCCAATACTCTGTCAACACTGGCCCACTCTATCTGAGCATTTAAAATTGTAGCAGCAAAATCTGAGGCCTGCTTGACCTTATTCCTTTGTGGGTGACCTGCTTTGTCTACTTGAGGACTTTGCAATTTTTAATCATACAGATGTCGTCAGAATGTTTTTATGGAATAGGTGTCATTTAATTATTTTTTTTTCTAGGAAACAGTGAGAGCTTTTGATCTGTCTTTTTTTGTGAGGAGGGGGTTGTTAGCTTTAAAAGAAGTTTTTGTCAGTTGTTGCTTTGACTATTGCTTCTGATCTAGTTTTTCAGATTTTTTCCTTGGAGAAGTGTGATCTCTGTTATCTGTCTTTTTTGTATGACACCTTCTATTTTATAATTATACCCTGCTTTTTCTCCACATTCTGGAGGAAACCTTTCAAGTTTAATTTCAAGGTGCTGCTTTGATGTTTCTGTCGCATTGATTCTTCACACCCGGTTCACATTCTGCTCTCGACCTTCTCCCTCCTTGCAGTCCTGTCTCATCTCACAAAGCTCGTCTTCCTCTCCTGCTGCTAGCCATCCTCACAGCTTCCTCCTTCATGGCCGTTTGGTCCTATTTCATGTCTCTTTGGGAGAATACATTCAAAATACCTTTCTCTCTTTCTGGATTTAATAATACTCTGGCTCACTCTGCCTGTTTATTTTCAGTATAATTTTGTGCTGGGGTAGCTCACAGCTTCTTTTTTTCTTTAACTTTTTTATTTGCTTATTCTGGAATGAGGAGAGAGCCTCCGGTTTCCATGTTTGCCAGCAGGTCCTGCTTGCATGTCAGCCTGGGCCCTGCTTACTGGCCGCTGAGGTGTTGGCTGAAATGCCTCTGTAGACCCACAGGTGGGAGGGTGGTTGGGTTCAACCTCCTGCACAGTGTGGCTTTGATGGACCTAAATGGATGGGATAATTCTTTCTCATGAAGCTTCTGATAAGCCACAGGTTCCTGCATCTACACAGGGCATGGGGGTGAGTGGGACAGGGTGGCCCTGGCAAGTGGGAGGGGAGAGAGGGCAGGGAGACAGCAGCCTGGCAGGAAGCAGTCCCCACGCAGGGGCCGTTTCCTGTGAGGACGACTTGGGTCTCTGAGCCCGTTGGCAGAAAGGGGCAGGCAAGGTGTTCCCTTACTTCTTTCAGGGAGATGAGACCACATTGTTTCTTGGAGGAAAACACATGCAGGCCACTCACTTTTCTCTCTTAGTTTGGCTACCTCTGGTTAGTCAGCGTTCCTGTCGGAGCCGATGACATTTTTTTTTCTCAGTGATGGTGTGAGTTTTTCTTTCCATTTCCATAGGCATTCTACCTGGTGTGGGAGAGGGCAGTTGCTACCAGCCAGATATCAGAAATTGCTTACAATATAGGCAGATAATAGCAAACGGGTTCTCAGGCAGACACAGAAGTGTATGTCATGCGTTAACTCCAGGTGTCATAATGGATGAGTTCCTCTGCAAAAGGAGAACAGTATCTCCAAGGAAATGAAACAACTAGCAGTGTGCCTGTGCTTGAGTGGTGGGGCTCCACATCATTTAGTATTTTTTCACTTATGTTTCCTAAATATTTTTAATGTGAATGTGCTATTTCATAATGACCAGTAAAACCACGATGTCGTCCTGTTCATTTCTGATTACCTTAAATATCTCCTCCCTTTGTTACAGGCTGTGCTGCAAATGTACATAAAGGTTGTAAAGATGCTGCACCTCCATGTCCCAAGGTAACCGCTGTCATCTGTGCGTGTGCGTGTTTCTATCTGGCTCGGTTGCCTCATATTATCTGTTTAGGTTGTGGCTCTTATCTTATTGTCCAGATTTATTTCTAGAATGATCACTGCAACAATAAAGTCACACATGCTCCAAGTGTAGGGTTATTCCCTTCGCTGTGCGCTCTCAGAGTGAGAGGGAAAGCGTGGTGTGGCCACCAGTGTTAGGCAGTGCGAGTGGGTCTGCCTTTCTCCTGGAACCTGCTTGGTTTACCAGAGTGACCACTGATTATATGTAAATGAAGCCTAGAGCAGTAATCCTCACACATCAAACACCATCAGAGTCACCTGTAGGACTTGTTAAAACACAGATTTCTGGGTGCCACTTCCAGAATTTCTGACCCAGTAAGTCTGGGTTGGGCCTGAGAATGTGCATTTCTGACAAGTTCCCCAGAGATGCTGCTGGTTCCGGGACTATGCTGAAAGGCTCGCGGGACCAGAAGAGTGTTCTCTGTGTTTGGGGGTGGGCTTGAGTAGATGGGCACCTGTCATTCTATGCCTTTCCTTCCCACTTTGAAGACTTGTCAGGAATGCACGTAAAATAGCACGGTGATCTTTCAGAGGGAAACTTGGAGTCACAACCTCCATGTTAACTGTATCACACGCTGTGTCAGGCCACAGAGTTGAGGGCAACGTTTCATTGCGCAAAGTTATGTTATGTCCTGTAGGCAGGAGGAATAGCCAGGATAGAAAGAAACAAGTGGGAGAAAGGCATAGCTGATAGGAACTCCCCTTTCAGCCCAAGTCTGGACACGCGAGCTAGCGGTTTCTGCTTCCTCTAGGCCAGCGGTTCTCAACCTGTGGGTTGCGATCCCTTTGGGAGTCGAATGACCCTTTCACAGGGATCGCCTAAGAGCATCGGAAAACACATATATAATTAAATACTGTTTTTGTGATTAATCACTATGCTTTAATTATGTTCAATTTGTAACAATGAAAATACATCCTGCATATCAGATATTTACATTACGATTCATAACAGTAGCAAAATTACAGTTATGAAGTAGCAAAAAGCTGGGATATTCATGAGACTCACGTTCATGAAGCACACATTCATTATAACTTAGCATCTCATTATCATAACATTTTTCTTTGTTGCCTTTAATGTCTTTTGCTTTGAATTCCTCTTTGAAATAATGAAAATGATGTGATAAGAATCCTATCCTGTGTACTGTGTGGACATTCTTGTAGTTCATTGGTGCTTTGATCTTATTTTATGTGTTTCTGATGTTCTTTACCAGAAATTCCAAGAGAAATATAACAAGAACAAACCACAGACCATCCTTGGAAGTAAGTGATGTGGAAAACTAGAACTTTTCCAATTTCATACATTCCACACATTTTTCCAATGTAAAGTACGCCCAACTTTTGCTTTCTCATTTGCCCAATTATTTCTTCTTTCAGAACAAATGCTTGGCATAATTTTTAGTGACTAATATACAAAGAGATCAAGAATGGTATAAACTTCTATGACAACCTAAAAGCCTTTGTACTACATTACTGTATGATTTTAAAAAAAAATTTTAATTACAGTTTACATTCGATGTTATTCTGTATTAGTTTCAGGTGTATAGCATGGAGTCATGATCTTTTATATTATGGAGGACTAAATGGAGGAGGTATTTTGATTTTGCCTCAATTCTAAGATGCGATCTGGCATAACATGCACTACTGATTTAATAACCCTTTAGGGCAGCGGTTCTCAACCTGTGGGTCATGACCCCTTAGGGGGTCGAACGACCCTTTCACAGGGGAGTCGCCTAAGACCATCGGAAAACACATATATAATCACATATTGTTTTTGTGATTAATCACTATGCTTTAATTATGTTCAATTTGTAACAATGAAATTGGGGGTCACCACAACATGAGGAACTGTATTAAAGGGTCACGGCGTTAGGAAGGTTGAGAACCACTGTTTTAGGGGAAAAAGAAACACTATATTATATGTACATAAATTTATGTTTTCCTAGCAGTAGCACATATTTATCTACACCAGTACACACCACACACTTCTTAAGAATCACAAGGTAAGGGGGTGGGGGGGAGAAATCTTCAAGTTTGGAATTTATAGATTCTTATCATTCTCTGTTTTCTATTACCATAACAACCTGGTGTTTTTCTTAATTGTACTTGAGGCTGGAATCTCCTAGCTCCTCTAGGATGGCTGTGAAATGTCAAGGTCTATCCACGTTTTGTTTGCATATTGTTAGATTTGGTGGTTCTATTTTTTCTTGAATTATATATGAAATTTAAACAATTTCTCCTGAACATAATTGCAGGCTTTGACAGTTCCTTACATTGCGTGCAAGAACCAGCCATACCATCATCTCTTAGGTTTGAAATCCTTTGATTTGTTGTTGAGAGATTAGTAATTTTTTCTGCCTCAAATGGCGTTGTTTGCCATGTGATCCGCATTTTAAGTTTGTGGTCCCTTTTTATTTCAAGGCTGTAACAAAGTGTGACCCGTGTTTTTAAAACCCCTTGAATTAGGGGATAAGGAGGTATGCATCTTCATGGTGACATGCGGTTGGGAGTGATGTTACACAAGGTTGAGCTAATGCAGTCACTACAACTGTGACATAAAAAACTGGCTGTTCTGACACCAGGAGTCCCTTTGGCCTGAGCTTAAGGTACTTCTCATTTTCATAAGGTGAAGTGGGAAAATAAAAAGCATCTTAAAATTAATGAAATACCATCTATTCCCTCTCTTTACTTGGGAGTCACAACACTAACATTAAATCATGCATGTGTCAGATTCCTTGTAATATCGCCCTTTTGCTTGAGAAGGTGCATGTGACAGCTATATTATAGGAAGAAATATTTTCTTGGAGTTACAGATAGTATCCAGCAAATGTAAACACACCTATGGCCACAGCATTTTAGAACTGACTAGAAAGGCACTATCTAGTTTTCAGTATGTGAGAGCCGGAGAAGCAGGTCTCATTCTGATGAGCTTTTACGGTCCATGGGCTCAGCTTGGCTTTTATTTGTCTGAAATTCTTAGACCATAAAGACACAGACTCCCCGGCATCATTCCAATCCATTGACAGGCTCTGTGTGCGCGTGTGCTTGCCTATACACACACTATGCATTCTAGTCATAGTGCTAATGACACGTTGTGCCTCTTCGAAGCTGGCTCCGGGGAGTGCAAGCAGTGGTTTATGAGAAAGCTGCCCCGGTGTGTTTCCCTGTTCCATTTTCTTGTTTGTTTGTGTTATCCCAGCCGCCCACAGCCTCCCAGTGGATGTGCTGGAGCAGGCCTGCAGCCCTGCTGTCAGGAGGGTGTGACATGGAAGGGACATTTGAAGCAGGTGTCGGGATGTGGAGGGAACTGGTTTCCAGGCTGAGCATGCGAAATGCTAGAAGCGGCCATTGAGTGTCAGCTTTCTGGCTTTTAAGCGACTACCTGTACTTCTCGTAATTACTGCCCTCTATGAAAACACATGAAGCATCCATTCTGATTTCCAGATTCTTCATTTAGAGACGTCCCCCTGGCTGGTCTCTCCTTGCACCCTTCTTCCTCCATGCCCATCGGATTGCCGGCCGGGAGGAAAGACACCGCGGGGCAGGCCCATCCGTTGTCCAGAAGTGTTCCCGGCACCACCTTGGACAGGTAAGTCAGTGTGATTTTACATCTTCTCACCTCAGAGCCGCTGTTGGGCTAACTCTTCTCCCTCCCTCCACTGCAGGAAGCCAGGCACATCCTTGGAGTCCGAGAGTGACGGGAACGCCTGGAGAAGCAGGTCTCATTCCGATGAGCTCTTACAGTCCATGGGCTCATCCCCCTCCACGGATTCTTTCTTAATGGAAGGTGAGAAAAAGATGTTTGCATGTACTTGTGTTTCTGTGAGCATTTGCCAAAAGGAATATTTTCTGAAGGATATAAGATTGAAAAAAAATTCTTTGTTCTTTTTAAAAGAATTCTGTTTCATGGTGTCTCTTTGCTATAGGTTTTTCTAAAAAAAAGAAAAAGAAAGTAAAAAAAGAGAGAAAGAAAGGAAAAAAAGAAAATTTAGACCCAAAGAAGATTTTCATAGAGTGACCAAGGAAATATGATGTATTTTTTAGTGGACATATGTCATAAATATAATGATGAGAATGGCATACATTATGTTTGTTATTCTTTTAAAAAGTTTTACAGCTATTAATGGAATTGAAATGGGATTATAGATTAAAAAGATATATTTCAATTAGTTAAGAAAGGACTTGCTTGGAACTCTGGGATATTTATTGCCATCTGTTGCCTCCCACTTCTTAGGAAATAAAAACATTTTTTTAAAGAGCATATTTTGTAGGATAGGACTTAATGTGGGGAATTACTTACCATATCCAAGTTGTGTCAATAAGTGAAAGAAAATTGAATGAAAGGAGAGTCGTGACAAGAGAAAGGTGTGGACTCTGCCCCAGGAATCTGTTTCTTTTATTTTAAACTTAAGACTTTAAATTCATTGTCATGTCATGTTTATTGCTCTGAGCTGGAATCATTTTTAGGAGTGCCATTTGGACAAACAGCACTTTGTTTTCTGGAAGAGTGTGTGTGTGTGTGTGTTGTCAAATTCTGTCAGAAAACTCTTGTGCTCACATGACCTGAGTCCTGACACCATGTGTCATGTTTATATTAAGGACGGCAAGCCAAGTAAAGAGAAAATAAAGTGGACAAGAACAAGATTCAAATTTGAGTAAATAGTGCAAAATAGCCCAGGGCAAAAGATTCTGTGTTCAAGATTCTGTAAGCGCGCATGGACTCTGAAGGTTACCAAAAGTAAAACTAAAACTAAAACAGAACGAGCCAAAACAAACAAACAAAAGAATCTTCAAATGTCCTTTTTTTAGTATATACACAACCATTGTGTTAATATCTTATTCTTTGCTTTCATGAGCGCAGTTTTGTTTTTCAGATGTTTCAACTCCATATCAACAGTATTTTGGCTTAGTTGTTTCTCTGTTTATAGCACAGTATTTAGTGTGATGAATCTGTAAACATGGGTACTGGTGAAGGTCTGTTTGTGTTTCACATGTTACTCTACTTCTAACTTTTCCAAAACCACATTAGATGTCGTGGATTCTTCTCTGTGGAGTGACCTCAGCAGTGATGCCCAGGAGTTTGAAGCCGAGTCGTGGAGTCTTGTGGTGGACCCCTCATTTTGCAGTAGGCAGGAGAAGGATGTCATCAAAAGACAGGATGTCATTTTTGGTAAGCTTTTCAGATATGCTCCTTGGATGAAGCAATGTCATATAGAGGGGAAAACCTGGACTTTGAAACCATTCAGACCTGAGTTCAAATCCAAATTCTACCATTTTCTTTTTTTAAAGCAACTTTCTCAATGTGATGTTTATTTATATATATACTAGAGGCCTGTTGCACGAAGAGATTCGTGCAATAGGCCTTCCTTCCTCTGGCTGCCAGCACCAGTTTTCCCCCCAGCACCCGGGACCCAGGCCTTCGATCCGACCGCAGCAGAGAAGCCAAGCCTCTTTAGTCTTCAGTCTTCGCTCTGTGCCTGCATATGCAAACTAACCGCCATCTTTGTTGGGTTAATTTGCATACTCATCCTGATTGGCTGGCAGGCATAGCGGAGTGACACCAATTTGCATGTTTCTCTTTTATTAGTGTAGATTTTAAAATATATTTTTATTGATTTCAGAGAGGAAGGGAGAGGGAGAGAGAGACAGAAACATCAGTGATGAGAGAGTATCATTGATCAGCTGCCTCCTGCATGCCCCCTACTGGGGATTGAGCCTGCAATCCTTGTCCCCTTGACCAGGATCGAACCCAGGACCTTCCAGTCCGCAGTCCAATGCTCTGTCCACTGAGCCAAACCAACTAGGGCCAAATGCTACCATTTTCTAGTTACTTAATTTCTGACAAATTGTTTAATTCACCTGGACTTCAGTGTCTCCATCTGTAAAATAGGAATAATGATACTCAGGTTTAAAATGTTGTGAAGATTAAATGAGGCATTGAGTGTACCTGATACAAAGCAGATTTTATTTCTTATACCCTTTTCAAGTTTACTTAAGCATGGCCTATGTACATTTACCATTGTTATTATAAGAATCATGGAAAAATTTCACATATGTTGATGTGGGGTGGACAGGGCTATTATATATATGACACTGTAATTTTCCCGCACGCACCAGAGGTTGCCAATCAGGTATGCCGCAGTGGGAGGGGCAGCACCTGGATTAGGGCAGTTGTGACGGTGTGATGCGGTCCTGCCTATGGAGTTTCACTCTGCTGACATTTACTATTTCATGCCATGTGAGGTGGAGGCAGTCTGAGTCAGGGGAAGTTCAATTATGCACTAGTTAGGAAAAAATGAGGTTTAAAAAATTTTCAAGTACAAAGTAGATGCTAAATAGTAGTTCCAAGAAGACACCCTATTTGAAAGATAAGACTAGCTCTTAGTTTTCACTGATCCCATATATAGGCAGACCTCGGAGATATTTCAGGTTCAGTGCCAGACCACCACAATAAAGCAAATATCGCAATAAAGTGAGTCATAATTGTTTTACTGGTGGAGGATCTTGCCTTCAATCTGTAATAAATGCACAATAAAGCAAAGCACAGTAAAACAAGGTATGCCTGTATGCAAGTGTGGCCCAGAGAGCCCATTGGCAAATGAGGACCCCTTCTCTCCTGGCTGGTTATGCAGGCCGGGTGAGATGCTATATAAGTGTGCTTGAAGTCTGTCCAGAGCTGCATTGGTGGGAGTTACTATGGAAAGGAAGATGCTGCCAGTATTTCTCATGCAATTTGTATTATACTGTAATTTTTCTTCACTTTCCTCTTGATTTCATATATTATTAAAAAGAACCTATCCCATTTTGGATGAATTTGTCATGTAGGGTAGTTCACAGCATGGCCTTTGTGTCAGAAAGGCTTGGATTCTGGGAAAATTCCTTCACATTTCTTCTTTATGTCTTTTAAAGATGAGGGAAATCATTTCTACTTTGGGATCATGATAGATAGATTAAAGGATTAAATGAAATGATATGGTTATGTGTTTAGCACTGAAACATGGTAGGAAATAATGTAAAGTTAGTGGGTTCCCAATTAAAGAGATTTTTTGTTGATGATAAAATAAAGCTACATTTAGATTTGTTTACCCTCCATGGCTAATATTTAATTAATTAATTAATTTTTATTGTTGACATTTTAGATTCTTTCTTTAAACATGTGAGTTTGGAGAAACTAATCTAGGACTTTTGGTGCTTCTACAAATTGTGAATTACTATTTTCTCTCATGTTGCATTCTTAAAGTTGAGATTTAATTTACATACCATCAAGTTCACCCCTTTACAGTGAACCTAGTGGTTTTTAGTATATTCACAAAGTTGTGCAACCATCAACTGCTATCTAATTCCATGGGATTTTCACGGCTCCAAAAGGAAAGCTTGTACCCATTAGTAGTCATTCTCCATTTTCCCCTCCTACTTAGCCACATCCTCACCTCACCAACACTTCTTTATTGTCCATCTCTTTTTATTACAATTAGCCTAGTATGTGTGTAGTCGTATCTCACTTTGGCTTTGATTTGCATTTCCTTGATAGCTAATGATGTAATTATTGGCCACTTGTATATGTTTGAAGAAATATCTATTTAAATATTTTGCCTATTTTTGAAGTGTGTTTATTGTTGTTGTTGTGAGAGTTATTTATATATTCTGGACACAAGTCCCTTACCAGGTATATGATTTGGAAATATTTTCTCCCATTTTATGGGTTGTCTTTTTACTTCCTTGATGGTGTTTCTTGATCATGATACACTGTTTTCCCCTAAAGAAAGTGGAATTTTAGAGACTGATCTAGTAATAGAAAGGATCTATTATTGTCTGCTTTGAGGAACTTTATTATATTTAATTCAATTTAATTCACCAAATTAATTGCGCTCCTACTCAATGCAAAAAACAACCATCCTTCCCCCCCCAAACAACAACAACAACAACAACCACAACAGCACACACACAACAAAACAAAACAAAACAGAAAAACTGAGACATACTAAGTTATATTTCAGAGAGCACTCAGGGAAGAATAAGACCGGCTCCTAGCTAAAGGTACCTAAAGAGGCTAGCTGGTTATGTTGTGAGAGTTTCAGATACATTGGATTCTTAAGTATTGGACTTGAATTTATCTTCTTATATCTGGAAAAACAGAAAATGTTGATTAATTTAAGCTTGCATTAATGTTTAATTGATGCTGACTTTTATAGTGGAAAAAGGTTATTTTTAAATATTTTCTTTTTTTAATTTGTGTGACGTATAGTGTTTAGCTACTAATTTAGGTCAGTAGGGATTCTTGTTTTAGAAGCCTGTTTCTTGCTCATGTGTTTCAGAGCTAATGCAAACGGAAATGCATCACATCCAGACCCTCTTCATCATGTCTGAGATCTTCAGGAAAGGGATGAAGGAGGAGCTGCAGCTGGACCACAGCACTGTGGATAAAATCTTCCCCTGCTTGGATGAGTTACTTGAAATTCATAGGCATTTCTTCTATAGCATGAAGGAGCGGAGGCAGGAATCCTGTGCTGACAATGACAGGAATTTCGTCATTAACCGAATTGGAGATATTCTAGTCCAACAGGTAAGAGAGGTTTAAAGGTCCTAACCTCAAAAACGGAAAGGTTTGCAGATTCCCTACAGTATTAAACACTGATGGAGAACTGGAATTAACTTCATTTTGATTGAGAGATGATTTTGATTGCTTTTCTTTTATTTGATGTTAGCTTATATGACTGATGCCTGAAAGTTTCATAAAGCCAGTGACTGGCCCTGTCACTACCTCCACCAGGAGTCACGGCCACAAGTAAATCCCTTTATGAAAATTCTATTTAAACTTCTTATTGTGATGGCTTTCCAATAATGTGGCTCCCCAGTGGGCCTGTGATAGTCTTACCAACATCTTCAAGGCAAGCACTGGCTCGTTTTGGAGGAGGCAGATCTGCTACCATGAAAGCCTCAGAGTTCATGCCTGGGAGACAGAGGTTGTTCTATATGTCAAGCTTATTGAAACACCTATCCCACATCTCTGCTTCTCTCCGTCAGTTAATTAATTGGAACCCTAGTTATCCATCTTTCTCCTTTATCTTGGCCAATGATTAATTACCTGCTTCTTGATCTATTTGTGATGTGCTGACAGAAATCAAATTCCCGACTGAGGGCTGAGTCCATGGACATGGTCCCTTAGCCAGTGTACATGCCAGCCAGTGAGAGGTCCCCAAATGTTGCCACATAATCCTTTCTTCAATCTATAAAAATATTCAAACTATAAGTTGAAATCACGAAGACTACAAAAAGAATAAATTATATCAAATGTTTTTTATTTGGCTATTTGATAATTGAATTAGCTCAGTATAATATAATCACATTAGATTACTGTCTTCCCTTTACCTCTTGACTACTTTCTTTTATTTTAATTGAAAAAGAGAAGTGACTGTGTTCAGAAGTTCCATGATTTTATACTTTTTTTTAATAGTGTAGATAGTTTATTTGTTCATATGCCATGAAAAGGCCAGTAAAGTATCGTGAGCTGCTTTTATAAAGCATTTACAATATTGCTAAGAAGCAGGCCCATTAATAGACAAACAGAATATTCCAAAATTATTGTCTATTTATAGATTAATAAATAGGCAATTATTTTAAGACTAGAGGCCCGGTGCACAAAAGTCGTGGACTGGAGTGTGTGTGTGTGTGTGTGTGTCTGTGTGTGTGTCCGTCCCCTCAGCCCAGCCTGCACCCTCTCCAATCTGGGACCCCTTGGGGGATGTCCAACTGCTGGTTTAGGCCCAATCCCTGTGGGATCGGACATCCCTCTCACAACCGGTACTGCTGGCTCCCAACCACTCACCTGCCTGCCTGCCTGATTGCCCCTAACCGGTTCTGCCTGCCTGATTGACACCTAACTGCTCCCCTGCTGGTCCAATCGCCCCCAACTGCCCGCCCCTGCCAGCCCAGTTGCCCCCAACTGCCTTCCCCTGCTGGCCCAGTCACCCCCAACTGCCCTCCCCTACCGGCCTGGTCCCCCCCAACTGCCCTCCCCTGCAGACCTGATCACCCACAACTGCCCTCCCCTGCCAGCCATCTTTTGGCTGTGGGTGCCACCATCTTTGAGGGCGGGGCAGTCAATTAGCATATTCCCTCCTTATTAAATAGGATATGCTCATCAGCATTGAGCTCTAGAAACGATGATCTTTATTCTTTATTTGCAAAGAATGTATTGAAATATATGAAAATTGCATTTTTCCTTTGTGTTCAGAACTGACTCAATTTATAAACCATCACTGAACTGTTATTCTCAGTTTTCAGAAGAAAATGCAAATACAATGAAGAAAATATATGGAGAATTCTGTAGCCATCACAAAGAAGCTGTCAGCCTATTTAAAGAACTCCAGCAAAATAAAAAGTTTCAGAATTTTATTAAGGCAAGTATTTTAAAACTCTATCATACAGTGGTAATCCAGTTTGGGAAAATAGTTCATGCTTATTTCTTATATAACCTCACTAAGTTTCACATCTAGATGCTGTTTTAGAAGGAAGTACTAATAAGTTTGTGGCCAAGATGGAAAGTCGTTTTTTCTATGTTAGTAAAATATTTCTTCTGAATCATTTTCTTTTGTAGCTTGTTATTTGTGAAGTCATGTCCTCCAAGCTTATGAGCACCTTTGCAATATCCTGTGAAGCTCTTTCATGCCCTGACAAGTTAAACATCAGAAGAATCATAGTATAAATAAGGACAGAATCCTTCCACTCCCACTGAATTAGCTTGAAGCAAATCCATGACTCATCGTCACTTCATATGTATCTCTAAACAATACAATCTTTTAAAAAATTACGGAGACATTATCGTGCATAGATAAATGAACAATAATTCTTTAATATTTTTCAACAGCTGGCTAATATTTGGATTTCCTGATTATTTCATAAAATTGAATTGCTTAAAATCAGGATCTATCCAAGGTTCACAATTATATATGAGGGTTACATCTTTTTAATCTTTTTTTTTTAATTTGAACATTCCCCTTTCCTTTTTTTTGCATCTAATTTATTTGTTAAAGAAATTTGTTGTTTAGCATTTCATGGAACCCAAATTTTTATCTAACATTTAAAAAATTCTATCAGATTCTCCTCCTTTTGTTTTGTTCCTACATACATATATTTGAGAATTTGAAAACTTAAAGAATACTCTGAAATTTTTAGAAAAAGTTGTCCTGATTAGAGGGAACTTTAAAGTTCCATGGTGAATAACAACACATAAAGAGGACGTCCTGTTGGAAAAATATAATTAATGTTAAACTCATACTCAAACTCTAACTTTGATTTCTGAGTATTTTTCAAAACTTTTGCTGTTCATGAATCTTAACACTTATATGTATTGGAATTTACTCACATTTGGAATTAATTACAAATACATCAGAGCAACTTAAAACTTCTTGAAATCTTGGAGAGCTGGATTATTGAAATTAATGACAAAGTATACAAGTTAATGACAATGCATCAATTTTCAATTAATGTGTATTGTATTGTGTCTGAATAGAAGTATGCTGTTGCAGATTCTCTGTATTATTAAATTCACATCTATTTAGAAAATATGGATAGAGTTTGTGAATATAAAAATATATCTGTCTTTTTTTAAGCTCCGAAATAGTAATCTTTTGGCTCGACGCCGAGGAATTCCAGAATGCATCCTGCTAGTCACTCAGCGCATCACAAAGTACCCTGTGTTAGTGGAGAGGATATTGCAGTACACAAAGGGTGAGTGATGACTTCTGGGACAAACATTTGCCTCTTTCATTACTTTGAAACATGCCTGAGGTGTTGTAAAGACCTATAAATGCTTGTGGCCTCTGATTCATAAAAATTTCCATTATGGAAAAACTGTTAAAGCCTTAGGATTTGGATCTATTTTGAAAAGTTACCTTTTATAATGTGGCTTGGCCAATAGTCTAAAGTCCTCCAAGCAGCCCAAACTTTGACCCTGCCTTTCTCTTCTGCAGTCTTTCCATATCCAGATCTTCTCACTACCTCTTCATCCTCATCTCCCTGCTACCTTCCTGCTGTTTGTTGAAACATATGCGATTGATCCTAGCAACAAATGTCAACTCTCCTAAACAATGAATTATTAGATTGAGAATGATTTATGAAGGAGCTATTTTTGACCTTGTTAATTCATTAAGTTCCGGAGAGTAACATCTGGGTATCCCTTAAGGAGCTATTAATGCACATGGCTGGACTGTAAGCTCCTGCAGGGATCTAGAAGGCCTGTGTCTGTCTGGTTCACAGCTGGATCTTCAATGCCTTGTGCAGTGGTTGGTCAAGAGTAGCCTATCAATAAACAAACACACAGCAGTGCAATGAATGAATAAATAAAATTGCCAGTTCCAAATGTTAGCTTGTCAATTTTGAGTTTATTATTGGGGGTTAGTGTGTTGTATTAACATGGGCTGGGTTTGTAGTTGTGTAAACTTGCATTGCTATTGCATATACTTGGTTCTGCCGCTCATTAGTTGGGCAAGTTAGTTAAATGGGCCTCTGTTTTCTGCACTGCCAAGTGAGAATAATAATCCTCATCTTCGGGAATTGTGAGGATCAAGTGAGATTGTCTCAGAAAGTGCCCAGTGCAGAGCCTGGTATAAACAAGGTGCTCAATAAGTGGGAGCTGTTTTTATTCTCTTTATTATGATTAGTTGACTTAGAGATAATGAAAATGGTGTCCTAAGATACTGTGTAAGACCAATGAGATTTTATATGCGAACTCTAAAAAAGTCAACTCTGACATTCTTTTTTGGGAAGGAGTCTAGGTGAGTAGGGGTCTAGGTGAGTAGCATCTATTCCTTGTGTCCCGTTTTTATGGATCCTTATAATATAAAAAAAAATAGAAGCACAATATACAGAGAAAAACCGTATAAATTTTGTTTTCAGCAAAAGAATGAAGACAAAATTGAGACTGTTTGTATGATGTTCATATATACGATACCTCACAGACTCACATTTGTCAGATTGTATTAAGTCAGCTCCAACAATCATCCCATGCCGCATTCCTGGAAGAATGAATAATAGTGATTCCCTAGTGTGTGTCAACCATGATAATTATGACATATGGCTCCTCACACATGCCTTAAGTCAGACCTTCCCAATGGTCAGTCTCTCTCTTTCTCTGGCTGCTGAGAACATGGTTCACATGACTCTATTATGGCAATGCTTCTCAAACTTCATTAGGAGTTACCCTTCCCCTGGGGACTGCTTACATGTCGATTCTGATTCAGTTAGCCTGAGATAGAACGCAAGTATGCATTTCTAACAATACTCCCAGGTGAGTCTGATGCTGCTAGACTTGAGTAGCAAGCTATTGTAAGATAGTAATTTGTCCCTGAAGGTCAAGACTTTGAGCCTGTTCTTGGCCTTACCTCTTGTAACTCAAGATTGACTTTCTTTACTCAACTTTCCTACAATGAAATATGCTCTTTAGAAAGAACATTGGTGGAGGGCAGGGTGTATGCTGCTTATTGGGCAGTAGGCGTAGTAAAATAGTGAGGTGTGTCCTTTCACGGGCAATGAGAAAGACTCTTAGTTGAAGATGAATGTCTGCATCTCTTCCTTGAGCTTTCCTGACAGATCCTCATGTATCTAACACATTCAGAACTCAAACCATTTAGGCCCTTTGGAGTCCTTGTTCTCATCCCACTTAACTGCTGTTCCTTCGTGTTTATTTCTGCTGCTCTAGGCTCTAGAGAATCTTTGATTTTTCTCTGCCAATTTTTTCTCTCATCTTTTAGAAACTTCTAAACTTCCGGAAACTTTCCCCTTCAGTTCATTTTGCCTCAATAAACATCAACTAGGTGGTTTTTTAAATCCTCAAATATAGAAAATAGCTACACTCAGTTTTATCTGGAGTTTCAGGAGGCTGATCCAGAAACTCCTCCAGAGTCTTTGCTTAAGATAATCCAGAGATAAGATCAGATGGCCAATGTTTTAAAGAATAACAACTAGACTCGGTGATCATCTACTCTGTTGGCATGAGCCACTAGGCACAGTGCCATGGTCCAGTTTTTTTAGTTAAAAAAATGTTTAATATGTATTATTGACATATTTATCTTTCTGCTAATGCACTTGTAAAATGTAGTTTTGAGTATTATTTTTATGGAGGAAGGGATCCAAGAAAGCAATTGAGTCTAAGGCCCATTCAAGGCACCTTGAAGCCCTAATTTATGAAAGGACTTCTACCTAGGCCTGTGGCTTGGTTAAGTTCTGAGAAGCTTGGTGTGGGTATAACTTGATTACCTGTGTGTGGGAAGGTAGAAGGAAGGCCTAACTTAGTATACACGGTGGGGCAAAAGTAGGTTTACAGTTATTCAGATGGAAAATAATTAATAAATAACAATCCAAGAATAAACGCTGTGTTTTACATACTCACAACTGTAGGTGCTTTTGCCCCATCTTGTTCATATAGCAAATAATTAATAAATCATAATCCAGGAATAAATGCTGTGTTTTGCATTCTCACAACTGTGGCTACGTTTGCCCCACCTTGTATATAAGACATTCCCTGCTCTAGGAGGAAGGTCAAACCAGTCTCTAGAAACCAGACATCCTATTTTCACGGTGTTTCAGCTGAAGCACATCTGATATGCAAATCTTTTATAGTTAAATATTTTAACGGTTCTTTTGGGTGGAGGGTGCACCGTGATAATGTGGTATTTGAATTTAATCCACCATTCTTGTTCAGAGACTTTTGCTGCTTGGATGATACACTTAACTGGTTTTAAAAGTATAGGAAAACACTGTCTCCCTTAGCTCTCTGGCTTATTGTATCGCGTTTCTTTTTTTTTTCCCACTCAGAAAACACGGAAGAACATAAAGACTTATGCAAAGCTCTTTGCCTAATACGAGACATGATTGCAGCAGTGGATTTAAAAGTCAGCGAATATGAGAAAAACCAAAAATGGCTCGAGATCCTAAGTAAGATCGAAAACAAAACATATATGAACACTCATAGGCAATGTGGCCAATGCTCTGAACCTTTAGTTGGCATTTTGCAGCTCTAATCAAAAGCCCTTATGTATGTCTTGTGATTGTCCAAGTTTGTGATGTTTGAATCAAAGGAACTGAGAATTCTGCTAATTGTTGGCACAGAAATGTTAATCTGGCAAATGTGATTTCAAGTGTGGTGGTACACCTGCACATCCAGCTCAGGACTAGCAGGCCATGGTGTGGAGGGGTGAACTCTGAATGTCACGTTCGGTACTGAGTAACATACTGCAAATATAGACACGTTTACATTGCTGTAGATGCTTCCTCAGTACGAACAGCATTAACGTGACTCCACTAATCTGGTCTGAGTCTAAAACAGTTTATTCATATTCTCAGGGGCTGATTCTGTAGCTAGCATCTTGCCTGATCTAGGCTTTCTCAACCCTGGCCACACACTAGAATTACCTCTGGAGCTTAAAAAATTTACTACTTTTATCTCCCCCTGGAAATTCTGAGCTTATGGGTCTGGGGGTGAAGCTCAAGTCTAGGGTGTTTAAAAGCTTGCAGGTGAGTCTGCTGCGCAGCCTGGTTAAGAACCTCTGGTCTGCTCTCCTTGTTTTTAATGCACTCAGGTAAACACCGAGAGGTTGTTAATCCTATTGGAGGATTGTCAAGTTTCACTGGTGGTTGCCACTAATGACCGGAATGGGATTTGTTGATCAGTAATTTGCCATGTGGCACCTAAACATTAACCACAATTAGAACATTAACCAAACTAAGATATTAAGCACTGTCTATAGATCCTGTGTGTCCAGTCGTTTGCTCTTGATCCATTTTGCAGAATCATTAGTTTGGTAGCTCTGTCAGAACTGTCAGTAGTATAGAGAAGATGGGTTCTTGTGAACAATTTGTAAGGGAAGTATAGGATTTAGATGGAATGAAATAGCAGATTTTGATATATAATTTGAGGCAGACACTGCCTTCTAACATTTTTAATTAGCACTTCTTTTTCCCCATAAAGGAAAGAGCTTGCTCTATCCTATTAAAAGTTTTTGTTTAATTGGATATCTTTCTTCCTTTGTAAAAGTTACAACATTAAATTTGCTGGAGATTTAGGAATACTTATAGTGACACACATAAACATGCATAACTAAACACAGATTGTTAAGTTATCTATAAGATATCTTTGGCTATCATACACATAAACATGCATAACTAAACACAGATTGTCTGTTAAGTTATCTATAAGATATCTTTGGCTATCATAATGCAGGAATTTTTATCAAAGTTTCATAATTAGACGAAGTCTTTTTATTTTTTAAAATATTTAATGTCGGCATTTGAAGTGTGGTTTGCTTCATTGATACTAACAAAGCTTTTTTTTTGGAAGATATCCTAGCGCTGCTTCTAACTGATGTGCTGCTCTTTTTACAAGAAAAAGACCAGAAATACATCTTTGCAGCTGTTGTAAGTATATGACCATGTGATGCATGTTTAATCCCACATCTCCTTGAAAAATTCCTGACATTCCTGGTGACATTATATAGTCATGGGTGAGAATATGCCCCTGTTATATTCTCAATGTAATTAATGACTACCGTGTTTAGTAACAAACATCTAATTGGATTTTAAGTAGCATGATGAGTGTTGAGTTATCACAGCTAGGATAGGTAGTTAGCTGGCTCAACAGTTTAACCAATTATGAATATATATATATTTTTAATCTTTATTGTTGAAATTATGACAAAGGTCCCCCTCCCCCCCCCCCCCCCCATTAACCTCTTCAATTATGAAAAGATTTCAGTAGTTGGGTACTGGCTGGTGAACAGGCACTGCCAAAACTCCCTCCCCAATGCTGTGACCCTCTGCCATCTGGTTCTCTAGGTCTTTCCTCCAAATACCCACCCCCTTGGTGTCCCGGAAACTCACATGTTAATGTTGGTCACTTCTGGTACCTTGCTGCCTGTCTTCTGTACCTGTTGCTAACCCCGTTCATAACTGTCATGACTTTCCTTCTGTCCAACAAGAGAACACCATCCTGGTATCTCAAGTTTAAAGATTCCTGTTATTTCTACTATAATGGTTACTAATGATGGAGGCTGTTCCTATAATAGTTATCTCTGTAGTATGCTATGTTAACCTCATTGCCAGCAGAGTACATTAGCAATAAAGCCAGAGTTTTATACCATTTCTTATGCAGCATCTTGTGGTCCAAAATGACTCACTTAGAGAAGGGAGATGTCATCAGTTCACTCCTTGTCAGCATCATGGAGCACCCGGCCCTGGTAGAGGAAAGGATCTGAGGTGCAGGACCAAGGTGGACAGCATGATGGTGTCTCTAAAACGCTAGTGATTATCATCCATTGACTGAGAGGATGTTCAGGCATCAGCAGCAAATACCGTCATTTCCACCTGTTCTGGCAAATTCAAAGCTTATGCTGCTCAGAGTAAACAAGAAGCATGCCTGCCCAGTGGGGGGTCCTGGGGAGGAAGAGGCTGGGACAGTGCCTCACCTGCCTGTCAGGTTAGGGCAATCGGCTTCTGCACCGTTCAGCACGTTGCCTCTGATCACAGAGTGTGCAAGTTGTATAACGTCCAGAGATGCTCCCCCACAGTGACACCAGCAGAAAACCAGAGGCTTTAGCCACGTCCCCAGTTTCCTGATCTGTTTGAATTATATGTATTGCAAATGTCATGACCCCCTACTGATGTGTCCGGCAACCCCTCTCGGCTGTTACCGGGTTCTCTGAAAGAAAGCAGAGTAAATGAGTGGGCCGTTTGACCTGTGGTTGGCGAGAAAACACATTTACACCCCTGCTTTATAGAAACGAGGGTTCCTCAAAACCAAAGACCTAAAGGAGAAGCAAATCCTGCCTCCTCGGGTGGTACTATCGGCCAGACAATCTAATGGTGGATCAAAGAATTAGACAGCATATGGACAACAGTTTTGTTTCTAGAACAACAGAGTGTATGGATTGAGAACTAGCTGTGATGTTTAGCTTATAGTATAACTTGAAGTATGGATTTGCCCCTCTTGTCTGACCTCTTGAAGAGTTATCTGTGCCACTCATAGACCACATTTACCATGAAATGGGACTTTAGGGATGCAACCCACCAAATGCCAGGTTGAAGGCAGCCACAACTCAGCTCTTCTGGGTAAAATGTGTTTGGCAATAGACAACAGTGAGATGGTGCGAATATCGTTTCCTGAAGATGTTAGTCTAACATGTAGCTGCCAGCTAAGCTCTTGCTGATGTCAGGAAGCAAAAGAGGAAGCATTATCCTTAAAGAGTCAAGTGCACCCTACTGTCAATCAGATGCTTTTTAGTTGCATCATATACATTTAGTTGGCACAGCCCATGTGTCATAAATATCTTATGGTTAATATCTTGATGGAGTTGATGCATTGGCTAAGAGTATGCAAATATCTGTATTTCCTGGTTCTCACATGAGTATTTTATAAAGTTATCTTCATGCTAATACCCACAGGTGAGATTCTCTGTCTCTTGTACTATTAGACAGACTTCTTTAGTAAATGCTTGCCACATGTTACAGAAGACATGACAAATTTGGAAATGGCCAGAAGATAAACAGCTGAAACATAGCAAGAGGATGGAATAGCTCCCCTAAAAGATAATTGTTTTCAAAGAGGACTCAGCTGGAAATGGCAATAGGACTCAGATATATAAAATGAATAGGAAAAAAGCATATGTGCTCACTAAATCCTGGAATGCTGAGAGTAGGAGGTTGTCTTGCCATGTAGATGTGCAAGTTGAAACGAGGAGGTGACCTTCAGGTCTTGTTATCACAGTGGAATCACAAATAGAATTGCTCACCCATAGACTCAGCCACCTTGTGGAATCACAGTGGATATATTGTAACCATGGGGCTACAGTGGCAGCTCCGGTTCCTCCTCATCTGTGGCAGAGGCCTTCCATGCCTACAGGGATGTGTGTCTGCAGACCTCCTCAGATGTGGTGGGGCTGTGGATGCCGGGAGAGCAAAGCCAGCACTAGAGTCAGCAGTGAGGCAATGAGCAGCATGTTCTGGTAAAGGCGTCGCTCAGTCCACGAGGGAGAAGCAAAACCACATATTGCGACCTACACTATAAACAGGGGTGGAAGCCACAAACCAAGGAAGAATCTTCATATTTACCCCCAAAACTTCAGCAGCATTCCTTTGGCTATTCTTCCAGCTACGGCTGCCTCGCTACATTATTATATTCAGTGTCTCATTCATCTCTAAATTTCTGAGACTTAGAGGGAACAGTGGTCACAGGAAATGTTGGGAGAGGAGGTGACTTAATCATGGATTGGATGCCACGTTGTAGACTTTCTTCCTATTCCCCTCCGATAGAATTAAGCTAAATCTCGTTCTACAGACGTTTAGTGAGTGCGTGCTCATGCAGAGCACTGTGTCAGACATGAAGATGAATCAGGCCTATTCCTGCCCACCAAAGGGTCCCCTGGTTGGTGGAAATAAGAGAAATTTGCAGGTAGAACTGTGGAAGCTGTGTTGCTGCTCCTATGATAGCAGGAGACACTGGTTATGCCAGGGGGGTCTAAAGCTTGGCTACCTCATTCTTGCCTGTCATGTTTGCATTCCACTCCTTGGTATCTGGGATTCTGTATCTGTCTCCTTATTGAAACAGTGTTGTTGTTAACTGCCAAATCCAAGGGACTCTTTAGGTCTTCCATCTCTCTCAATCTCTTCATAATATTTGATATACTATTTCCTATCCCATGCCTTTCTAGAAAAATTCATCCACCCCTGACTATGGCATTTTGATGTTTTTTTCATAGTGCTCTGATGGTCCTCTCTTTTTAAAAGTGGTCCTTTTATTTTATTTTATTTTTTGTTGCAAGGTCATTTTATTTACTTGCAGCAATTAAAGGAGTTGGGATTTATATCCGAAGCTCTGCCTCCCCACAGAGAGGCTTAGCGATTGCTTATGCACACTCTTTGGTCAATGATGTGTTAGTTTCTTTAAAAGGTGTCCTTTTAAACCACCAATTCTTGAGGACAAACACTTCCCTGTAGCTTTTCTTCCCACCCTGTCTTCACCATAACTGTTCCATGGAGCTCTTGCCAACTTCCTCAGCTCTTGGGAAAAGAGTGAAGTGATACTAAGACTTACCTAACACGGTTGCTTTCCTTCGCTAACATGCTCTGCGGGACCGCACTTTGGATGGGGTGCTGTTTCATCTGCACGTCCTCCTGTTTTGCGCAGGATCAGAAGCCATCCGTTATTTCCCTTCAGAAGCTTATCGCCCGAGAAGTTGCTAATGAGGAGAGAGGAATGTTTCTGATCAGCGCTTCTTCTGCTGGCCCTGAGATGTATGAGATTCACACCAACTCCAAGGAGGAGCGAAATAACTGGATGAGAAGGATCCAGCAGGCAGTCGAGAGGTAACGTTTCCTTCTGTCCACCCGCTAGGAAGTGGCTGGTTCAATGGGGAGCGTGCTCTGACTGTGTCTCCCTTGCATGAAAACTTTGCCTCAGCCCGAGCGGTCTGCTCCCCTGCACCTGCCTGTGATAGGCCCTCACCTGCAGCTCTGTCCTCCGAGCCTCCCTGCACTCAGCCCCCATCCTCCCCTCTGCCTGCGGCAACCTACCCATCTTGGTGCAGCTCCTGTCTGTCTCCTTCGCGAACACTCTTTGCTTCCATTGGCTCTTTCTTACCTGAAATTCTTTAACATGCTCTCTGAAGCATTTATTTGGTGCTTGTCTTAAACTGCCTTGTAGCTATAATCACATTCTATGTGTGTATGTTATTTATTAGATTGGAAGCTCCTGGAGGGCAGGGACCATGTCTTATGTTTCTCTGTGGACTGAATTCTGAAGAATCATTCAATAAACGTTTTTAGATTAGTGGATCTAAGTGCTCTAAGTCAATTTACTCCTCCTTATTGTGCACAAGCAGTTTTTATAAATGGGGGTGGGAGAGTGGGGGTGATCATTTTTCATGGTAATTTGATTCATTAGATCTTGAATGATGTTACATAAAATTCCTTCATTGCCACTGTACCTCACCCAACCTGGCGCCCTACTCCCATTCCCTATGCTGCTGGCTTTGAGGGCTGTTACATTACGCAAGGTCCTTTACATGCTCAAGAAAACCAAATCTCTTGGCCAGGGGCATGTTGAATTCCCTTTATGTTGACTTTTTCTTTGAATGATTCTACTGCCTCTCCCGTGTCTTTCTAATGACCCTAAAGGTACTTGGACTTGGTTTGAGTTGTCTCTCTTGACTCTTGTCTTTTAAAGTTGCCCAGAAGAAGAAGGGGGGAGGACAAGTGAGTCTGATGAAGAGCGGCGGAAAGCTGAAGCAAGAGTGGCCAAAATTCAGCAATGTCAAGGTACAGTGCTGGCACCTACGGTTCCCTGGTTGTGTGTGTCCGTGGACGGTGAGAAAGCCCAAGTGTCATGAATGGGAAGCTATGACTAACTGATTAATCTAATTCTGTGCATGCAAAGCCTACTCTAACTACTCTCAAACAAACAAACAAAAAAACTGGCTCTGGGAGTGCTTAAATAAGGTGTATCTCTCCCTACTTCCTCCTTTGTGATGAAGAACACATATTTTTAAAGCTGTGGTACATATATATATACAATGGAATATAACTTGGCCATGAAAAATAATGAAATCGTACCAGTTACAACAGCCTGGCTGTCCCAGAGGGGCATTGTACTAAGTGAAATAAGTCAGAAAAAGGCAAATACCATATGCTTTCACTTATATGTGTGATCTAAAGAAAAATATAAAATGAACAAGCAAAATGGAAACAGATTTATAGATACAGAGAACATTTTGCTGGCTATCAGAGGGGAGGAAGGTGGAGGACTGGGTGAAAAAGGTGAAGGGATTATAAACTACAGATGGGCAGTTATAGAATAGTCACCGGATGTGAAGTACAACAGAGGGAATGTAGTCAGTAATGTTGTAATAACTCTGTATGGTGCCAGGTGATACTGGAATTATCAGGGAAACACTTTGTAAAGTATATGATTGTCTAACCCCGTGGTCGGCAAACTGCGGCTCGCAAGCCACGTGCGGCTCTTTGGCTCCTTGAGTGTGGCTCTTCCTAAGCCTCAGGAGTACCCTAATTAAGCTAATAACAATGTACCTACCTATATAGTTTAAGTATAAAAAATTTGGCTCTCAAAAGAAATTTCAATCGTTGTACTGTTGATATTTGGCTCTGTTGACTAATGAGTTTGCCGAACACTGGTCTAACCACTATGCTGTACACATGAAACAGAATATATAATACAGAATAATATTGAATGTAAAAAATAATATATTTTTTAGATTTTTGCACATGACTGTGAGTGGTGTGGCACGGGTGGTTCTAAGAACTGCTGTTCAGTGGTTTAGTTTTAGCACTGTCAGGTCACAGTTGTATGACTGTGATTAAGGAACACAAGAGCTCTGGTCCTCAGTGTCCAAGTCCGTGAAATTCGGAAATTAAGTCAACTCAGTGATTCTCATCTCTGGCTGGACCTTAGAATCACTGCGGGTAGGTTGTTCAAAGTCCTGGCGCCTGGGCCCCACCCTCAACCAATTCAGGGAGAATCTGTGTGTGGGGGGGGCATGCAGACATTAGTATTTTAAACTCTCCCAGGTGATTTTGAGGCAAAGAGATGGAGAACCCCTGGATTAGATGCTGGTTTGGTCCCTTTAAGCTTGAAGAATCCTGTGACATGTTGAGATCAGAGGAAAATGATGCATGAAAGTTGGTCAAAGAAATTGGAGGTTTAGGAATAGAAACATGAGCCGCTGTGTTTGGTTTTGACCAAGGCTGGCTGGAGCCTTTGCATTGCTTTCCCTTGTGGGTTCCACTCATTATGGATGAGCCGCCTCAGTGTCATTCCCCAGCTTAATGTTACGTCGTAATAGAAAACAGCCCCAGCAAAGAATAGCTTCGCAAGCTTTTCTGGAATTAGGGGACTGGGAAAGGAAACAGACATATATTGAGTACCCCGTTTGTAGGAAATACATTGGAAGATCAGAGAAGTAGGTCATTTGCTAGAGGCGGCAGTCACTGAATGGAACAGTTAGGGTTTGAACTTGAATCTGTCGCACCCAACAAGCTCATTTTGCCTGTTAGGTCACACTGCTAGCTAATCCGCAACTTCTTTGTCTTGTCACGTGGATTCTCATAGCTGCTAAGTTCCTGTGATAACCTTCTCGGGTAAATGCTGTTTCACAGAACTACTCTGTAATCAGGACCAGCAAATCTGTACGTACCTGGAGGAGAAGCTGCATATCTACGCTGAGTTGGGAGAACTGAGTGGATTTGAGGATGTCCACCTGGAGCCCCACCTCCTCATCAAGCCGGACCCCGGCGAGCCTCCCCAGGCGGCCTCCTTGCTGGCAGCGGCACTAAAAGAAGGTAAGTTGCTTCCGAAAGGATATGGTTTGACCACTTCAGAAAACGTGTACTGAGTACCTACCATCGCTGTGGTCTTGGTGCTGAGGATATAGCACAATAAGACAAAGTCCTGACTCTCCTGAAACAGCGAAATGTCAGGAAATAAATACGGCAGGTTATGTCAAGTGCTCTGAAGAACAGTGAGCAGGATGTGGGGGTTAGAGAGTAATGGGGTTGGGGAGGTTTTATTTTGGAGAAGGCGGACAGTGGAGGCCTCCTTTGATATAGTGCTATATGAGCAGACACAGGGAATTGAGAAATCCAAACAGAATCTGGGAAAAGAATGTTCTAGACATAGGAACAGCAGGTGCAAAGGCCCTGAGGCAGGTGAGTGCCAGATTTGTCTGAGGAACAGCACAGAGGACAGTGTAGGTACAGCGATGTGAGTGCTGGGAAGTGGTAGGAGATGAGTCAGCATTAACGAGGCCCAGGTTACCTGGATGGAGGTAAGGACTTTGAATTTCATCCGAAGTGTGAGGGAAGCATTGCAGAGTTTTGAGTTGAAGAGCGATTTCCTTTGTGTTTTAAAATAAACCCTCTGACTGCCGAGTGGAGAATGACAGCGTCTAGGGTGTAAACGTGGGAGTTGGTGGCTGAGGCAGGGTGGACGACAAGGCCATGGAACGCCAGGGGATTGGAAGTTCTGTGTTCATGGAATTGGACTCACTGAGAGTTTTGATAGGAGTAGATTGTGGGGAGGCGGTCAATTGCACCAGGTGCTTAAATTGTTCAAGGCGTCTGTTGGTGCCTGGCAACAAGGAGCAGTAGTGAGTGGTGTAAGGGAAATTTTAAGGTAAAAAGGCACTGAAGGGGAGAAACGGGGCTGGAAGTGACCATAGGGACAAAGAGCTTGGGAGATAAAACAGCTACCACCTGAGAGAGTGCTATTGTGCAGAACCAGGGCTGGTAAAGTACAGGCCACAGACGAAATGCGTCCCACCGCCTGTCTTTGTAAATAGAGTTTAATTGGGACACAGCCACACCCACTGTGCACATAACATCGACAGCTGCTTTCTTGCTGCCGTGGCAAGGACGAATAGTTGCAACAGAGATGGTATGGGCCACGAAGACTGAAATATTTACAATCTGGTTCTTTGCAGAAAATGTTTGCCAAGCTCTGCCTTAGCACCTCAACATTAGCTGGAGGAGAACTTAGGGATCATGGAATCTAAGACCGGTTGAGGGCACAGGTCCTCAGAACGGCACAGAGGTGGTCTGACATGAGGTCTGCCAAAGGACTTACGCATCCGTTCATCAAATGTGTATTGGGCATCTGCAGTGTGCACTGTGGCTGGTGCTCAGGAAACAGTGATGCTTTCATCAGAACTCCGAGTGATTATATTCCCCTGCTGTACTTACATCCCCGTGGCTGTTTTTATAACTGGCGATTTGTACTTCTTAATTCCTTCCCCCTTTTCACCCAGCTTCCCAATCTGGCGGTCATCAAAATGTTCTCTGTATCCATGAGTTTGTATCATTTTGTAATGCTCTAATACCTGGGTGATAGAACTTAGCATTGAACACGTGCTACCTTGTAGAGCAGTTAGTTATCTGTCTCTCTCTTGTCCACTCTACGAACTCCCCTTACTAGTTATCAGATGCCCAGTAGCCCATAGAACAGAGAAGGTCATCAATTTGATAAATTAAATCATTGGACACACTGTTTTGGAAATATTTATAGGGTCCTCAGAATAATTATTATTAATAGCATTAATAATAATGCTAGTTGAAAACCTTTTATTGTAAATAGAAAACCTTCACTTAAAAATTTAGGTGCTTGTTTAAAGTGCAAATCCCCTTTTTTCTCCGCTGAGAATGTGATCCAGTAGGTCTACCATGAGGAATGGGAATCTTTTTAAAGGCATGTTTGGAGAAATACTCTTTAAAAAAAATGATTTGAGGGAGAGAGGGGAAGGGAGGAAGGGGGAGGGAGGGAGGGAGGGTGGGAGAGAGAGAGGGGAGAGAGAGGGAGAGAGAGAGATATCTAACCAGCTGCATCCTGCACATCCCCTACCAGGGATCAAGCCCATAACCCGGGCATGTGTTCTGACCCAGAATCAAACCGGCAACCTTGCAGTGCACAGGACAATGCGCAA